TAAGCACCAGGTTTAAAGGATTTTCAGTTCAGTGGGATGATATAACTGCCTCCCAGTTGCACACAAAAAGCAGCAGTGTGTAAGCATGAAAACTTACGCAGTGTGATGAGGCTCAGAAATAGTATCCCAGATTTATTAGGCATTAATTTTGTAGAAATTATCAAAATGTAATGTGAGGAAAGTTATTTTTGAAAAACAAACAAAACTATTCCTGTTGAAAATTGGAATTCTGTTCCTTTAGCAGATATTTTCCCTATGACAACTTGTAAGCAATAAAACATTTAAAATCTGTCCATTCATTCATCCTGTTGTGTTAGAAGAAACTGTTACAAACTGCTGTAGGCAGAAATTAACACCTGCAAGTAAACAAGGATCGTTTTTGTTATGGAAAACATGGACTAACTTTTGACTCTTCCAGATTTTTTTTTTTTGTGATATTCCTGATGCAGTTTATTTTTTATATCCTCTACATTTGTTCCATTTGTGGCAAAAAGAATTGTGGGAGAACTCAGCTATTCAGTAAACTCAGGATTATTTTTTAGCATCTTAAAAAGGAGTTGATTACATACATACTTTCCTGGGAGGTGGCTACTTCGAGAGGTATTTGTCTGTGCAGCTGAAAGCTTAAAAATACAAACTTTGTTAAAGGGATCTGAACTGAGGTTTCCTTATTTTCTTCATCAGATGGTGATAATTTATATCCTGATGCTTTTCTGCATATTTTAAATGATTTTTTCTGATGCTTCTTTAAATCCTCAAATGCAGCATAATGCAGGACTCCAGCTGTAACACCTCACATCAACCGTTCTGGGGGTTTTGCCTCAAAGCATCACACTGTTTTAAGCTGACACGCTTCCGTCTTGTTTCTGTAATATTTTCTCTTTCAGAAGCTGTATGTTCATCAGGACATTGCGCTGTAAGCAGAAAGCTGCGTCTGCTTTAAAATTGCTAAATGCTGGCTGCGTTTCCTTAGCTGAGGTTTCTGAGGTCTCTGCTAAGAGAAGTTCTGAGTAGTTCAGGAATTTAACTCTGAGACTAAAAATAAACTGTAAAATAAGGTTATTAGAGTTTGTAGTCACTGGCTTTTTTTTTTTTTTCTTTTTACAGTCATGACCCTGTTCCTTTAAAATGCAAAACCTTATTTTGTTTGCTTAAAAATGACAATAATGTGTTTATAGGCTTGGACCTGAATGCAACACTTTGGCAGATAGTTAAAACAAGTCCCGAGCTGCTTTTTAGGCACGTTTTGTGCAACAAGTACGATAACTATTGCAGGGAAGTTTGTTATCAGTGATCAGCACGTTGTACACACTTGTGCACTGCTGAGCCTTAAATGTCAGAGTTTGCAAGGCTGCCCTCAATGCTAGGCACAGAGTAAGTTAACAAATGCATCTGGCCCCAGGAATAGTGCTGGCGGTTACTGTCCTAGGAGAGGTCGCTCAAGCTGCAGTCACATAAAGTGCAAAACTAAGTCAGTTTCTGAAACAGCCGGACTAAAGAGCCATTCCTACTCACTTTCAAAGTAGCATGCATCACGCCCACCTCATCTGAGCTGTACCAAGGAAGAGCTTTCCCCAGTCAGTCTGCCTCCTAAGGTCCCTCCTTTTTTCCAGCAGCTTGGATGGTTATCGGACAACAGTTAATTAGAAAACTGCACACTGGGATTTACAGTAAATTAAAAATTTACCTCTTTTATCCAAGCTGTGAAAAATTTGAGTACAATCACCATTTGGTTTCTACTAGTAGTTTCTGTTAGCTTCTACTACTGTTTTCAAACGTATGAGCTGTCAGTGCTTTGAAACAGAAATGGATGGAATGGATTTTAAATAATGATTCTTAATATAGTGCAAGACGAAACTTTGTAAATAGTATTTAGGTTTGGGTCATAACAATTTCTGATAACTTGAGGATGACATGACAATCAATTAAACACCAATTGAGCTGCTGCCCTCTTACCTGTATTGATGTGTAACAGTGCCAGTATATTTAAGGAAATGGCTTAGTGACACTGTTATGTACAGCCATAAAGAATCAGTTTGTACCAGTTCTTCACCTATTCTGAAAAGAATCTAATGATGTAGGTGACTTGGGTATTAAACACACGTGAATTATTTTATGACTGAAAGCTTCATTCATTCGAGGTAAATTTAATAACAAATTATTTATTTTTACTTATTAAAACACTCACAGTGGAAGCACAGATTTACAAAGCTGGCTAAAGACACCTACTGGCTAAAGAATTAGTAAGAGTTAAAAGTGCGGATAGTTAAAACAGTAAATTCACAGCTTCTTTTAACAATGTGTGATGACAATATGAACTGATCCTGTATTAAGTGACTGTTGCAACCAAATGAAACAGAAAGCACTACACATCTTTGTAAATAAATGAAATGTAAAATCTAATAAATAGGAAAATATTAAGTAGTGATGTTGCTGTCTGGTTATTTTACATAATGATGCCTTAATAACTTCGTGTTATGGTTTTTAACATTATCGATAGTGGTACTGACTGGTAAGTGTCTAAGAATGGAAGTGGAGCTGATTGTGCAGTTTCGGTTTAAATGGGGGAGATGCCTAAACTGGCATTGTCGCTGGAAAGGACAGAGAGTATTTGCACCACTTAATATCTAACGTAGGCACGTGAACTCTCCCTGATTAAACAAGGAACTACAACTGAATCCTCTGCTTATGGAGCCCCTTCTTCTCTTTAGTGTGGGACTTCAGTATCTAAATTAAAAACTAAATTCCTTAACACAAACTAATCTTAAGAGTGTGTTTCCTGATCTTGCCAGACTGAAGAAGAGCCAAGTTGGTTCCTCTACTTTGATGCAGAGCTCTGCTGCAGAGTTTCTAGCTTGTAACCCAGTGGGAAAAAGCAGTTGCCACCTCCACTACAGAGTTCAGCTGAAGTTCCCTGAGCTCCAGGGGTGGTTTTGGCTGTAATTTCATCAGTCCTGGGACAGTGTGATTTACTGCAGAAGACTCTTTCTTCCTGCATTGGATCTGAAATAATTTGTGATACCAGTGAACATCTGCCCTTCACTTGAAGGAACAGTATCCAGAACATCACTTTGGAGAACCTCTGCACTACTAATCTGTGATTTAAGGCTGGCAGGACAGTGAGCTGTAGCCCAGCTAGAGGCAAGCAATAAAAAGTTTTTACTTAATTGATGCTGCTCCCATTACAAAAATAAGCATCCACAGCACATTTATTTAATGTTTAAATTACATAATATTTTACATAACCTGAAAAGAAAATATATTTATCCCACATACAGTAATAGTAAACAAGTGCATTATTTCAAACATTAAAAATAAATCTTTTAACCAAGTCTGTACAACAGATAAATAAAATTATATCTACAATACTTAAGTTGTGAAGAACAAAACAAAAATTACCCCTCAAACTCACAGTTCCCCATTGCTCCTAATACTGGCATAGGTGAAAGTTATGGATCCTGTCCCCCACTACAGTGCTCACCTAGACAATTCTTTTCAGCCGTTCGGATGTACTGGTCAAGGAGGTTTTTCCAAACGTTGGAAGTAACGCACACAAAGAACAAACAGCTGAGTATCCTGCCAAGAGCTTCAAAATATCTGGCAGACTCAGTGAAACTATTGAATTTGGGGGAGTGAATGATTTTTCTTTCCTTTTTTTTTTTTTTTTTTTTTTTGATGAATGATTGGTCATTCTTTAAAAACAACCAACCAACCTGTTCTCCACCAAAAAAAAAAATGAAGCCATTCTTCTCACAATTTTTTTTTGCACTCATTGGTGGCTGCAAGTTTGAATTCAATTTTTTAACTGGGATAATATGAAAAACACGTACATGGCAGTACATACGGTACAAATTAGGATTCATATTGTTTAGAATCATACATAATTAACTGCACATATGCTTGGAAAACAACATTGTGCTCGTGTTTTTGCCTGCTAACAAGTAATCAGTAGATGAATAAAATGAAAAAGCGACGAGAGGTCAAACTGTCAGCTGAAGCAAAATCACAAACAACAAAGAAATGACCACAACTTCACTGAGGAAGTGGAATGTAAATTACAGCTCGTCCCTGCCCCACTGCAGGGCTGGGTTTTTTCAGTTTTACTTTTTACACTAAAGGAAACAGTTAGTAAGAAAGATGGGCACTGCTAAAAAGGAAAGGAAAAAAGGTTTCTCCAAACAGCTCCAATCTCATTTCACTTGTAATTGTGAGACTCAGTCATCTGCATGCAACAAGGTGACCACTCAGTTCTTCCTCCTCGTAGTATCAAGAGACTGTCTTGCATCCCTGACTTGCATTATTTTAAATGAAGATATTTTTACAGCATAGAATATGGCACCAGTTCCCTAATGAGACCTAGTTCAAGGTCATCTACCAACTCAAGAGCGAGGTTCGAAGATCGCCGTTCCCCTGTTCTGGTATCTCCCTAAGATCTGATGGGATTTCATCTGACTCGAAAAGGCTGGAGGTCTTCCAAAAATTCTCCATCTTGTACTAAGTCTCTTAAAATTATTCATCTGTTCATTCACTGGGATTGTACAGAGAACTGCACACAGTTAAATTAATTGGTGGAAAATTTATGATAAAGCAAATGATTATAGGGAAAAAACCCCAAATTTTCTTTATAAAAAAATTAACCTCAGAATTCACCATATTTGCTGAAAACATCTTAAAAAGAACCCATAAAATATTGTGTAAACTTGTATATAATCTTAAATCACTGAATTGGTGATTACTTTTTATTTCTATGTATAAAGGGTTTCATATAACATATACTATCTCCACCCAAAATACTAATTTCTAAACAAAAAAATACGATTTTGTTCAGACAAAGGCCCTGGTTTACCAGGGTCACCTGTGATGTTTCACATCAGCTAAAGGTGACCATTAACAAAGGATCACAAGTTTTCTCTTTCTCTGTTCCTTGATGAGCATGATTACAGCATGTGTTCTGTAAGGCTGTTCTCTAGTAACATCCGTTCTTCATTCGGCTGACGCCAGGTAAAGGTAACTCCGGGATATGCACATGATATTGCTAAACCACTGAACTTCACTTCTTCATCTCACGTTTAAACAGATATGTAAACGAAGTATATATCCAGTAGAAAAGACTCATTTTCACATGCAATTCTGTACAGTGCATTCTTGTTTCTCAGATTATTTGAGAAGGCTATTTCCACACAAAATATATACATGTGCACTATATACATTTTCCACACACTTAATTTAAATGTCTTCTTGTACTTTTAGTTGAGAATTTTTGTTCAGGCAGACACAAAGTAAACCTGAAGAAAGTTTCCAGGAATCTTTTCAAGTTAATGCTTTGACTGCTCTTGCATTGCCGAGAAGAGGAGCAGACCAGAAAAAAATCCAGCTATGCATAGCAACCTTTTCAGCAGAGTTGAGTTATCTTTAGGAACCACGATCTGTGCTAGATCATTAGTGATCTGAGAAATTTCATGTGCCACACACACAAATATAAAAGTGCTGACAAGAACATTAAACATCGGATATCCAGGAATGAGCACCAAGATCCCCTTTGTGTCTGCTGCCAGCCAAATATGGTATTGGCAAATGAAAAGCTAAAAGAAAAAAAGAGTGTGTTTAGTAATACTTAAATCTATCTCTATATATTTACTTATATAAAACCATATAGTTATTACTATTGCATCAACTGACACACTGTACTTCTGCTTAAGTCAGACATTTCTGATTAAATAACATAATTGAGAAGCCATTTTCCACAAGTCTTTGCTGTAAGACAAAACTTAGAGTACACAGTAAAATGGGTTTGCTTAGCCCTTAACCACATATGGCATAGGGGCACATGTTTACATTCCCTCGGAACAGATGAGGAACAGCCTCCACCCAGTTACTGTGTCTCTGGTGAGGGACTGAACTAACATGCCTGAAAATAAAAGATAATGTTTCAACTGCTGATGAATGCAAAGGTCCTTGGAGTTGATCAGCACCTTAGAGTTCACCAGGAATCAGAACAGTGAAAATGTGATCCTTTAAAAAAAAAATATATTCAATCTCATGTACTACATATACAATTTATTATAATGAGTTTCTCCCATAAGTTCCTTTCCCCTTTTGAACTGTATTTTAGTAATACAATAAAATTAAACATTTAACATTACTAAACAGCAAATAAAATGGAAAGCCAGATAATTTCTACTGTTTCAAAATACACACTCAATGGAACACAATAACATTTGCACTAAGAAGGGTTTTGTTTGTAAAGTTACATTTGTTTATTAGGGTAGGAAAGCTTTCTAGGGCAAATGCATTTGTAAGTGTACTTATCCTAGTCAGCACAACTCATACTGCTTCTTCAACTGACTTTAATTTTTATCTTCCGACTGCATACACACCACAGCTTACTCCAGCATTAAATGCCCACTCTCACAACCCTCAACTCCCCACCAAAACCAGCATAAGAAACAAGTTTGCTACTGTGAGACTGCTATTTCAGCTGCGATTTTTAAGTGTAGATGGAAGTGACAATGCTAAAAGAGGTCAAACACAACAGCATGGTATTCAATAAGCCAATAAATGCTGTCACTATTTATGTGTTATACTACAATTCAGATAATAAAACCACCTTAAATTTCTAAGTTTCAATTCACTGTACTTCTGATCATTCTACTTACCTCTAGAGAAATTTTGCCAAACCAGGCAAAGAACGAGCTATACACAGATCGGACGTATCCAGGAATGTTCCTGATGAGGACAAAAGCTAAAATCTTTTTTTAAAAAAAAGTAAAAAAAAAAAAAGTGACTATGGATGTCAAGCAGATTACACACACACAAAAAGATTTAGTCATTTTCACTGTCTAAAGTGAAATGTATCATGCATTAAATTTTCTTTAAAATCTAATGAATATATAAACAAAAAACCCTATGCAGTTTATACTTTAAAAAGTACGTCTTGAAACTGCAAATCTCTTACGTGTATTCTTCTTACAGCACAGAAGTCACATTTACATCTTCAGTAAAATCATGGCCTTTGTTGACACATATTGCTATACACTTACTAGGCAGGGTCACAAAACATGTTACACCATGCCAGCCTAAAATGACAGTGGCCACAAATGTGAGTTAACCCTCAATTTTTAAAGAGATGGTGGTCAAGACAGACAAATTAATATCAGAAAATGAATCACACATGCTGCCCCTCGAGAGAGCAGGACAAACCATTAAAAAACAGGAAACAGCGAGGGAACAGAATCAGACAGCTGGAGTACAGTGGGGCAGGGGACACAGTAAGGCAAAAATCTACATTTAAGAAAACCACATGCATGCCCCTGTGGCCCACCTGTCCTCTGCCTAGAAGTGACTACAGGGTGCCATAGGTTGCTTCCTACGCCAATACCCCCAAACACTCATGCTTCCCTACAGCTTTCTTCTTTTCCACTGCTATGCAATTAGTGAAAAGTTGGATTTGGACTTTAAAAACTATGCATATGAAACCTACCCTAAGGACATCAAGGTTAATCAAAAGCATAAGCACAGTATGTGATTTCAGTGCTGAAAGGCCATGAAAAACAGCAAGCAATGTAGTTAAACCCTTTTTCACATTCAGACATGAGAATGACTCTCAGTATCTTGACATTCCAGGCTAAAGCAAAAATACATTTCAAAACAACTTTCATAAAAGCCCAAACAAGAACAGACTAGATTCTATCACTGTAAGGAAAAGGACTACAATTGTAATTACCTGCACCACAGAAACAGAAGGATGTAGTTCATTGCACTCAGTCTTGTTTTTACAGCTACTAGCCCAAATAGAATAGGTCTAAAAGATATAAAAATCAGTTTGTGTAGCAGTTAAACGTAAAATTTAAAAATTAAACAAAAGGTAAGCTATTTTGGAACACTTCAGCAGTAGTTGGTTCACTAAAATGTGAGACACTAATAGAAAAAACTATATTGTGCTTAGTTTTGTGTTTCTCTCAAATTCTTATTTGCAACTGATGAATACCATACTTATTCATACCCTAAGATACAGGCATACTGTTGATAATTTTTTCATCACAAACAAACAAGCAATCAAGAATGGAGATAACAGCTGTATTATCTACCATATTATTTTTATGATCCAATTTTCATGTAACCTTTGCAATTAACTGAAAGAGTGGTCATGTTTTCATCTACAGTTGACTGAAAGGAAAAGTATTTCAGTGAGTAGGTAGGTAAGGCTGTGCACCAAAACAGAGCTGAAGTATCTTGAGATCAAGATTGATTTTTAAAACCAATATATTTTCTAAACAAGAACTTCAGAAAACTTATTCTTTAGAGATTTACAAACCTGACTATACTACTTATACTAGGTACGTACCAAAAAGGATACAATTGAAATAAATAATAAAACATTTGAAACTCTGTTGGAGAAAAGAGGATCTCCCTTTCCTTCTGATATCATCTGACGTTTCTGCAATGCCAGATAAATAAAAGCAAACAGCATCCCATGAAAAACTACCTGTAAAAGACAAACAGAATGCAATGAAAATTTCATGGCTTTTACAAGTACTTCAGGTACAAACTCTTAACAGAAATGCTACAGGATAAACTACTTGTAATATCAAAGCTTAGGTGTCAATAGGTCCTTTCCCAGATTTACTGAAGCAACAAAAGTAGGCTTTCTACACTAGGTTGTCATAAACTACATTTTAAACTCAACTCAAAAACTACATAGAAAGTACTCTTACTAACACTTCACAGAGCATCAAAGACATGACAATGAAATTTCAAGAAGCTTTTAAGTACCTACTATCCCCTCAGCATCAAAAAGGGCTTTCTCTGGGGAAAAAAACATGTCTGGCCTTCTCCCAAGTTGGCAGGTGAAAACATTCAAGAAGCACTACAAGTGCTTCCCTCTGTCACAGACACAATTCTTCAACAGAGTGTTTTATGGTCTCACGCCAAGTTCTCATCAGCTAGCAACATGATGCTGTTTCAGGCCCATGCAGTGCTTGTCTTCTGTATTTATTTTGGGACTTCCTCTTTAGCAGCAGCACAGAATACACTGTTCACAAGCAACAAAGCTCCAAGTCTGCAATGTCACAACGCAGTGTGTGCTGCTCATGGGAGCAGCCCAGGACGTGACAACTGGGTGCTCTGCAAGTTTCAGTTACTGTAGACCACCAGAGGGAGAAGGGTGCAAGTGATCCCGTTAAGGATAAGGTTGGCAGGTAAGTGCTCCCATCTCAAACTCCACTTACTCCAAGAAGGCAAACAGAAGACCAGCATCTCCCTGTTCTATTCCCCCACACTGTAGGGTCAGTAACTGGAAAGAAAACACTTTCCCACTGGAAAACCATTTAAAAATATGTGCCAGAATAGTCTGGCTTGGGCATCAAGACCCTGATTTTAGAAGTGTTTTAAAGGCTACCTTAAAAGAAATATATCCTTAATTGATACAACTTTCAAAAAATATTATTAAGAAAGCCACTACAATAATTTGCCTTGTATTTCAATAGCCTGAAGCACCACAGGTGTCAAATTTTTGCAGAAAAATTTTTGAGAAAAGACAAATCTAGGTCACTTTATGACTTTTTTTTAAAGCAAACTAAGCAGGATCCAGCAGCAAATAAATCATCATCAATCTTTTAAGCAAGGCTTTGACAGACATGTGCAGAAATAAGGTGGATGCAGCTTAGGCTTCTATTAAACAATCCACTGGGAAAAACTGCTTTCTCTGGAGGTAAGGTAAACAACCTTCCCTCACCTTCAAATTAAAAACATACACTTAAGAGACCAGTATAAATTTATGCAAATGATACTTACATATCGATCCAATTTCCACCTAAACCACCATTCATAGACATTCCCATTCAGTTCAAAACACTTGGACAGTGGCCAAAAAGAAAATATCTTCTCAAATGCGCCCTGTAAAAAATAAACATGGCAAAAGCATTAACTGATGTCAACCGTATTTACTAAATTTAAATCAATATGCTGCCTTTTATTATTATCACATTCCTATTTCACTACCTACGTGGCATTACCAAAACAACAGGCTTCCTTAAAAGTCACTCCCCCCAACAAACCAAAGTACTTCTTCCGAAGAAAGGGTTTCAGTTTTGCTTTCCATAAAGGTATTGACAGGGCTTCCATTTTGTACTGCAGGCTTAAAGGCAGAGATCCATTGATGTGATGGGGTAATGAATACATACTCTACAGAAGACCACAGTTCAACAATCTTAAAACCAATGAGGGATTAAAACCATACAAACCTCCCCCTGGGAAGTTCTAGAGTGACAAACTCTGCCCTTATTTCTGTCAGCTGTACTTACATCATGTAATAAGTCGCTCTTTTAGCATGAGAACCAGTTTTTTCATTAGGTATCAAAGTCAACACCAGGTCTCTAAGAGACACAGACCTTCATATCACCATACGGATCACCATATGCTACCAAAGATCAGTAACTTGAAGCATATCAAAAAAACCCCACCCCAAAACGAAAGCACAGACCTTTGTATTTATTACATTTGCAGCAGCATACTGAAAACATGTCGAGCACTACAAACAAATGAGTAAGATACAGAATTATGCTTCCTCCGGCATCCACACCAATTCAAGTATGAAAAGAAATGGAAAGGTTCCATTTTTTTCCTTCTGTATTTATGATAAAGAAGCAAATATACAAGTTATGAGCACATTAAAAAGTAGAGGTAGGTAGTATACTCTTAGGCCATTAAGGATAAAATTAGTAAAAGTTTACAAACCTGAGAATATGACAGAAAATATATACATGTCAGTAAGCAAATCAGTTTCAGCAGTAAACCAAAGTGCCATAAGCAGTTCCCTGAGGAAGAAATAAATTAATCAGTATACAGTCATCAATTTTTCAATAGCAAAACCCAGGACACATTAAATAATAATTGCCAATTATTTAGTGTAGCTATGCTTAGTAATACATACATTCATAAATAAATGTTCAAATATTACCAGCAATACTTTATCTACATTGACATATTAAATTTTACTTTAAGGAATTAAAATAAACATTCACAGCAATTGACAACCTATTAATCCAAAATTAAGCCTCATGTCTAAAACAGGGATGACATACATACAGAAATAAGAGAATTTAGGTGTTCAAAAAGAAACACTATTCTAAAGCTTCTGCTTTCCCAAACACTGCACAGGCTTTCCTTATTTTAGGTTAATGTAAATATAAATAAAACAAAATGCCCAACAGCTTTTGTCACGTGAAATAAGTACAGCATATATTATTAGACTCTGAGGTACCAGTTGTACTCCAAAAGTCAACTGCAGGTCATTAAGGACGAGTATCTTGTTAAGACAAACCCAAGAAACTGCTCCTCAAGGCTGTCGACTGATACTAAGCTCTACCCAAGCCTCAACATTGCAACAGAGATCATTTCCCTCTCTTGCCAAATAAATTGTCAGCTGTAAACAGGGACATAAAGAAGGTAAAGTTGTCACTGAAAGATTTTTCTAGTTTCACAGCACACTATTGCTCCAATGTACACAATAGTCATTTCTCTGTATCTGGAACAGAAGTGCCTTTGCAGAAAAAACATAAAATATTGGAGCTATTTGCCTTTGAGATCTTGTAAAACTGTTCTCTCACTGTATTTTTGCAGCATCTATTCCTAGCATGCATTTGGTATATTTCATTGTCATATCTGCGGACTATAAGATTTTGATATTACTCTATCAACAGGGAAGAAGGACTCTTAAGGTTTTAGCTCTAATTTTGGTGACTTAAATAACAGGCATTTACCACATGATGACAGCTCTTCAATAAACTGCAAAGCATAAAATAAACTAGGATTTCACCTTGATTTTTTATTTAAAATATCCGTATCACAAGATATACTTCTGACAGTTCACTTAAATCTAAGATACCAAAGTAACAAACCCCAAGTTCTTATTTGGCAGGATTAGTGCTCAAGATGGATGAGGCACATTGGCAATGCAGAATGAGAAAGTCCAAATGCTCGCTGTTCATGCTGTACCCATTACTACACTACAGCAACAATCTCAGCTGGCATAGATAGCGTAACCTATGTTTTTAGTTTGTGTTTAGTAATGTTACAACTCTTGATAAAGCACATCTCTGATGGTCAAAACCGATTAAAAAGTATTCTAATATGACTGTAACCAGAGATAGACTTAAGTTAAGTTATAATTTTCCAACTGACATATAATTCATTTATGACAAACTATATTTCCGTGAACAGCTGTTTAACATATTTTGCATATGTTAAAAAGAGGCTGAGATTTACTAAACAATACCATCTTCTGGATGGTTATCATTTGTAGCAACATGCAAATGTTTTCTAGCAGAAGGGGGAAAAAAGAAAATCCTACCATTTGCATTCTTCTGGACTATCTGAGGCCATATAGCTAAGGTGGCATAAATGATCATAAACCAGACAGTGACTAACGGCACAAAGTAGTAGAACTGGTAAGGTCGGTCCATCACTATGCACAGTACCACAACCAAGAAATTGAGACGAAATAAAACCTGGAAGGAGTCAGAGGAGAGAACACAGAGGATATATAAACAGGGAGGCAAAGCTAAGAGAGATGGGCGGCATGTTTCTTTAGCACTCTAGGAAAATATCTGTGTATTTTACATCTCACACACTGATTATATTTCAGTTGAAACACGGGTAAGTATCTCAGGGAACATCAGTAACGCAATGTAAGACTGCAGCTGACTATGTAGTACTGGATGTGTCCTATGCTGGCCTACTTGGGTAGAGATAGCAATGAAAATAGGGTAAAACAGAACTGTCTCCAGGCTGGGCACTGAGTATCCCAGTCGCTGGATGCTGCTAATGCCTCTTTGCTTTCACTCCCAAAGCACCCAGGCTAGCTCAGTTAAAGCTAGGGTAACGTCACTACCAGTGCTGCACTTAGGCTGGAAACATATGTTTCATGAGCAGGATGACATGAATTACATGAAAATATAACACTTAACAGCAATTAAAGATTTTTTTCTTATTATTTTTCAAAGTGCTGCAGCACACACTGCAAAACCTGGGAGGAAAACAAAAAAAAATAGGTATGTTCTCTAGTACCATTATGGTGCAAAAATCCTAAGAAATGCAGGCTCCAATACACTGTCTTTGGAAAAGAAAACAACCCACAGAACCAATATAGCTGACAGGAAAGTCTTTTTTTCTCCCTATATTACATTTGGATCTGAAAACTCAAACCCATAACTGAAAAGGCTTATGGACCAAGAAGAACACCAGTTTTACAATGAAAAAAAAACCAAACCAACCAAAACCAAACCAAACCAAAACCCCCAAACCCTACATATTTGTTTTTCGAAGGAAGCAGATACATCTGATATGTTTGTGAAATTTTCAGCTATTTCTAAAGAAAAAACAGTAGAGGCATATGGTATTTCTGACCATATTCTATATATCAAATGGTTACACTTACTGTTACACAGAACTAACTGTCCCAACAAAAAAAAAAACCCCAAAACAACCCAACAAATTCTCAGTTAAGAATTAAAGAAAAACTAGTGTACAGTATTTGGCAACACTTTGGTATGTCTTGAAAGAGGTAACAAATACTACAGTGATGCCTCTTGTTCATATATTAGTGATCTACTTCAATGTAAAACAGTTGGATACTCAGCAGCATGAAAACTTCCTTTAACAGATCTGAAAGATCACTCTTCTGAAGGAAAGAAAGACACCACAAGTGCTTTGGGATACTATGGTTCCAACTAACCAACTAAAAAGTTTAATTTCACCAACAAGCGAGGAAGAAGTCCAAAAATGCATACAAAATTTAAAAGCTTTCACCATTTAAGCAAGTGGAAATTACTTCAGTTTACATCAGAGACAAGAAAACGTTTGTTCCACCTACAAAAAGACTTGCCATGCTGGGAGCAAGCAAACCAACGTGCTGAATAACCTGCTGAATAATTACCTCTATTCACAGGAGAGGACAAAAAAAATAAATTCTGTACACAAGTGTCTCTTGGATTCACCAAACATTTATCTGCTTGTATAAATAAAACTCTAATAGAAACACTAATAACTTAAAAAACCCAAACACTTGGGAAAATATCAACATGGAGTAGCTTGATGTTATAAGAACAAGGTAAGAGAAGCAAAATAAAGTATTTCCAATGGCTAATTTGGGAAAACCATTTTTTTTTTCCAACAAGGTAGAGCAGATGAGAACATTGACACCACCTACCTATTCTCAATTGTAACTGGAGAAAGGCTGTTCCAGAGGACAACTCAGAACACCACAGGTATCGTAAACACTACCGATTAAACAGGTCTGACTACACAGAAACAACAGCCATTTTTAATGTGCAAACCTTGCTTAAGTAATCTGGTATCACATTATTTACAGAGTATGGATGTATTATGGATATTTTGTTAGCTGAACAAATTTCTTTATAAAAATAGTAAGTAGATTTTCTTACCTGACACACTCTGTATACACCAAAGTCCCCTTTTATCCAAAAATAAGAGAAGTGTCCATAACCTGTTTGGAACAGATATGCAGCAACCAGAACTCGAATGTGCATGTATACAGGCAAAAACTGTTGAGAAAAATAAAGTACCTTCCATAAATGGCCACGTAAATACTTCTGATTTTCCTTTCTTCCCCCCTATTTTATGCTTTTTCTGCATTGCAGTAAATCAGGTTTAGCTGAAAAAAGAAACACGATGCTGCACTTCCCTGTTTGTTACTAAGCTCTTTTGTTGCTCTAACCTCTCCAATGTTAAAATGCGTTTCTGCTATTTACTGCTCTACAACTTCTGTATTCTGTAACCAGGCAAGAGACAGTTAAAAAAGGATCTCTGAAAGTTTACCTTCAGCAGTTTCAAGTTCTGAACATAAGAACGAAGTGTTGCTAGCAATAAAAAATAAACTAACGTAATCTTCTACGTGGAGCAAGAAAGTATTTTTTTTTTCATTGGTTAAGTAACTCACCAAATGGTCTTATCAATGAAATCTACACTTAAATAGAGAGAAAAACTAATTCTTCTAATATAATTTTTAAAACCACAGGAACAATAGCATAAGTTATTAATTCTACTCAATTCTGATACACATTTTCATTATCTTTCTTTTGAAGTAACAAACCCAAATTGCATTCACACTTAAAAAGAAAAAGGAAATTTAAACACTTACAGTGCTTGCTCCAGAGATATGATAAATCAAAATAACAAGCTGCATCCAGCCCTTCCATTCATCAGTTTGTTCTCTATTTAACACTTTAGTCTAATGCAAAACAAAACAAGAGTGTTGCTATTCCAAAAAGTACAACGAACATCTACAAAATGAGGAGAAAAAGTTCAAAACAATAAAGCACGTTATGGGCAAATAGGTCTCAATTGTAAAAGACTTCTGTCTAGGGGAAACAGGTCTACCAGATTTTAACGTGCTCTACTCTCTTGTATCTGAGCTATATTCACTTTAAATTTGACTGAGTGACAAAGGCTGAAAGCACTTATATCCATATGTCTTCAAAAAGCTTCTGCATCTAATTCCATGCAAACAATATACTGCTTGTGAGTGCATTTTTTGCAGATGAGTTATACTGACTTTGAAAATTTAATATTTAGCAATTACTTTTTTACATTCAAACTGGGAAACAACGTTATAAGTAGGATGTCAGCATGATCATTACCTCTTTGGTATTTTCGGTATAAAACACCCCCAAGACCAAGATATAGATGATTGGTATGAAGAAAGATGAATGTGTATAAAATTTATTTTCCTTCATGAACAGATTTGCTCTGTCACACAGATAAAAATAGGTCATGATTAGACCAAGTTTGCAGAAGGAGTGTAAGAGCATCTCTAAAGTAGAAACATAAGGAGTGTTGATGGCAGGTTTCTTCTCCTCTCCACTTTCCAAATCAGTGCATGACTTGTTCTTCCGAAAATTATTCCGATGAATTAAACTGATAATTAAATATCCAATAATGGACAAAGTAAAGAAACAGAAAGCTAACTTCTGTATCAGAGTGAGAGGAGGCTGAGGTTGGCAGCAGGAGCCATCAATGGGCTTCATTATCTTGTTGCAGTAGACATTCATAAGAATCATCGCATTCTGTCAAAGAAATAGGCACTCTTGTCAATTAATCTCTAATAAAATAGTTAACATTTTAATCATAAGAAATTTTCTTCTAGATCATGCATTGACATAAACCATATGCAATTCTCCCTTATCATTACATAGATAAAATTTCACAGTTCTCCCATATACCTACTTGCATTCAACAGTACAGTCAAAACATCTCTTCCAAACAGGAAACCCTAGAGCTTCTCTATCCCCCTAAAGAGGCACGGTAATGAAAGTCTCTAAAACATGACAATGAGACTGAAACTTGTGGTGAGATGATATTTAGTTCATTCAGTACCTGAAAGCAACTGAAACCTGCAAAGGAGTGGAACTAAAAACAGCACTGTGCCCTTGTGGCCAGGAAGGCCAATGGCATCCTGGGGTGTATTAGGAGGGGTGTGGTTAGTAGGTCAAGAGAGGTTCTCCTCCCTCTCTACTCTGCCCTGGTGAGGCCACATCTGGAACATTGTGTCCAGTTCTGGGCCCCACAGTTCAAGAAGGACAGGGAACTGCTTGAGAGAGTCCAGCACAGAGCCACCAAGAAGATTAAGAGAGTGGAGCATCTCCCTTCTGAGGAAAGGCTGAGGGAGCTGGGTCTCTTTAGCTTGGAGAAGAGACTGAGGGGTGACCTCATTATGTTTATAAATATGTAAAGGGTGAATGCCAGGAGGATGGAGCCAGGCCCTTCTCAGTGATGCCCAATGGCAGGACAAGGGGCAATGGGTGTAAGCTGGAACACAGGAGGTTCCGCTTAAACTTGAGAAGAAACTTCTTTATGGTGAGGGTGACAGAGCACTGGAACAGGCTGCCCAGGGAGGTTGTGGAGTCTCCTTCTCTGGAGACATTCAAGACCTGTCTGGATGCCTTTCTATGTGATCTCATTTAGGTTCCTGCTCCGGCAGGGGGATTGGACTGGATGATCTTTCAAGGTCCCTTCGAATGACTAACATCCCGTGATTCTGTGAACACAGTGAGAGAGCTCAGTCACAAGAAGGGCAGACTGACAAAGCTCTGAGGGGCTCACTCCATGCATATGTATGTGTATAAATATATATATATATATATATAGGTAGGTTAAAGATAAAATAAGAAATAAAGTCAGTGGCACTCCACACAACCAGGAAGGTGTATATTGTATGTTTTCTTATCCTTTTCATATTCTTTACTAAACAAAATTATATGAGCACATGGGGGAAAATCTAAGACTTTACTTAGCACTGCTTTACAAATGATTATCGCCCTAACTCAGCCATGCAGATGAAGGCACAAAGTTTGCACTCAGGATCTAAAAGGTCTAGTGGATTAACAGCTATTTTAAAATAGCTACATACTAATGTGTTGGCTCTTATGTTTTTCAGGCATCCTATATAACTGACTGCCCTCCCACCTATTGAGACCTTCTGAACAAAATTTCCTGAAGAATGTGCAGGTCCTCATTACATTCATGTTGTCTGCCATTTTAGAATATTCACTTAAAATCTTGGTTTACTATTATTACTTTTTAATGTTGACCAGTGACAAAAACACTTACTGTATCTCTGCTTGATTCAGGAAGATGCAGGCCATCTGCAGACTTCATGATAGTTTCTTGTGCTATCAATTTTGATACACTGAACACTTTAACTTTAGCTTTGGAATTTCGGGAGCTGCTGTTCAGAATACGAACAGCTGCTTCATTATAAGCATCTATTTTCTCATTAGTGATCATTTTCCGACTTTCACTCAGCATATCTTCATAAACAGGGTCTGAATTTGAAAAGACAAAGAATGGGCACATTAACCTTCTACTTGACAAATACTTAGCTCAAGTTCTACAGGTTACTTTCATTTAGGTAGTCACAATTGTTTAATGGTACAGAGAAAACATACAATGAGGAATGAGTGACTGTAACAGTAACTAGAGTAATAACAAGAGTTGTTTATCATTAAATGTTCTTATTGCCATTACCCAGTCATGCATATGTACTTCTAGATGATAAAACTTTAGCCAGACATAAATGCCTGTTTAATCTCCCCAAACCCATGAAGACCATATAATGAGGAAGGACAGAGCTGCTCATGCCTTCTCTCAGTAATGGAATTGCCCCAGGAAAGGCTCCAAAGCCAAGATGACAGAATACAGGCAGCAGAATAGACATGTGGAAAAACACACAATTCCCAAATCCTTTAGTTACTGCAGAAGACACCAGCTTCTCATTTTTCTAAGTCATAGTCCATAAGCATATTCCACTTGCTCCTGTTCATTGCAGTTTGATGGCAGTTTCAGTTTTTCAGAAGAACAGAACACCACCTAATTGCCTACAGGCTTCAGAAATTATATAGAGCTTAACACAAAGCTATATGGGATTCTAGATCAACAGGTCAGCTGGAAACTGGTAAATTGCTATGAAAAGCTACTGATGTTCATAACTTTGGTGAAACACACTCTACAAGCTATAAGTTGATTTACTTTAGCTACCTCAATGTCTACTTTTGGACAATCAAAGTCTAGACAACTGTCCATGTACAGACTCCTTTTCCTCTTATTTGTTCCACTAAGAGCTCAGAGATTACTTAAATGGACTGGATCTTCATCAACAGAACACTGGGACATATCTGACAGCTAGCTGCTTCTGTTATAGATAAAGATAGATAAGATCTATCTATAGATAGATATCTATAGATAAGATATAGATAAAATGCCTGTTTTGAAAGGAATGCAAGAAAATCTGTTGATTCAGGCTAACCTCTAAAACCATCTTTGACAGAAACTTGGATGTCACTATAAGGGTACAGCTGGATATGGTCCTATCAGGGCTCAAAATCTGACTCTGTTTCTAACTGAGGTGATGATAAGCAAAAATGCTTCTATGGCAGATAAGCCAGGAGCACACTGTTCAGTGTCAGAGACATACCTTGGTTTTACTGAGTAACAGTAAAAGAATGCAAGCTTGGTGCTGTAATAAAAATATCACAGACTCATTTTGAACCATGATTTCTGGCTCCTAATCTTAACTCATCAATGCTCGGTGTACAGAAGCAAGTTTCATTCTAGAGACTTGTTGAATGTCTACGATTATGTAATCTGAAAATTTAATTGAACACAAACACAGGAATACAGCAGTTGTATACACTTGTGTTCTTGACTCCCAAGAGGTACATACGGAGCACAGCACAGGGAGAATAGACCTGGCATGCTGAGCCTGAGAGTAAGCTAACAAAGTATTAAGAGTTCAGAAGGCAAAAGATTTTCCTGAGAAAGCTTTAAAATTTCCACCACTAGTAGCAGGTAGTTAGGTACAAGCTAGTTAAGGCTGCAAGAAAGGCCAGACTGGAATTCAACCAACACTTTTTACTCTGCAAGTAAGCAGTATGGACTAAGTTTTCCATATCCCACAAGACAATGATTCAACAGACAGTGACAGGACAAATTGTTACCTACTGTTCATTACTTTACCTTGTAAGACCCAGTAAACATCACTACTTTTTGCTAATTTTTCCAGAAGAGGTGCAATTGAAGTGATATTGATTTTATATTGTGTGAGGGCTTCATTGCTGCCATTGTGAATCTTGATAGACCACTGGAGAAATAAAGAGATTCAGAACCTGTATGTCTGAGGACCCTTAACTACCTGATTAAATTTCTCTGTTAGTAGTTATTTTTCATTATTTCTATAAAGCTAGATTATTTCTTTAGTCTTTGCTTTTAAAGTGCTAAAAAATTTCTTTTGGACCAAACAGCTGTCTAGACAGATAATTACATTCAAACAGACCATTTAAATACAGAGTATATAATACTAAACTTAACGTATATTTGATTTTTCATAAATTAAATGATGCAAGGAGTTTTAATTAAAAGCCCCTTGACTCTGAACAATGATGAAGTAGTAAAGCCAGTCACATTATATAAAAATCACAGACAATTCAGTCGATTTTACTCTAGGAAAACTGACCACAGCAAGATGTGTGCAAGCAAAACTTGATGGTGGTATTGAGTTCCAGTATTTTCCATCTGTTTTGCAGATATGAGCCATTTTAATTTCTGATTTAATTTTCTATGAAATGACTGGGAGAATGCTCTAGCCACCCAAGATTTTCTCCTAACTTCTGAAAAGCATCTCCCACACTGTAGGAAAAATAGATTTAGCATTTTTTTTTAAAGTATTACTCTATCTATAATGATTTAGTCAAAATCTGTAAAAAAACCCATAAATTATTTAGCCTGAATGTAGTGAACTCTCTAGTTATTTCTAAATATCTACATAAAAATTTTGATGTAAGCCAAGTACACTGATTATTCCATTTCCTCGGAGTATTACTGAACATACACAAATATTTTATGAAACCAAATAACATGCAGCTGCTCTGAGAACTCACACTCGGGGGAAAAAAAAGCAGTTTCTCTCAGTAGCTGAATCTTAACTCATGAAATACCTACAGTATTTAAACAGACGTTTTAAGAAGCACGTTGTATTCAACAGGAACTAAGAAAGGAAGTTAGGAACTAAGAAGCAGAGCACTGTAGTGACATTCTCAGAGCATCTCCTTTCCCCAAAAGAAGCAAGCAACTGAGTTTTGTACCAGCTGGAGCTTCTCCAACTTATAAGACTTTACTTCTATTTATAAACTGTTAGGCATCGACATCTTAAGACAGACATATCCAGACCAAAGTAACATGACCAAAACAAGAGCTACGTTAAAGATCCAGGTTAAGTTTCAAAATGCTGACAAGTCCAAGGGGACACAGTGGTTTCATCTGGCAGCAGGTTACCACACTAATGCTAGCCAAGGTAAAGTTGCTGACACATCAGATCTTTTAAGCATTTTACTTTTCTGAAAGTCCTTTAAAATAGGGGGTATTTATCTTTGCCAACTCTAGATACAGAATCATGGTTTGGGTTGGAAGGGACCTTAAAAATCATCTCGTTCCAACCCCCCTGCCATGAGCAGGGACACCTTCCACTAGAACAGGTTGCTCAAAGCCTCATCCAGCCTGGCCTTAAACACTTCCAGGG